GGCCCGTAATTGTCGTTTTATTGCGTTGTGTGTCTAATTAATTAAATGGAAAATTTCATATCTAAAATATTATGTATAACTTATTTCAAAACTAAGAAATAAAGTTTAAAATTTCAAAAATCAGATAATAAATATATATTTTTTATTTATTAAATATATTACAGTCATAATTCTATACTATTTGATGACAAATTATCGAATTAATTGATCACAAATTTTTTCTCGATCATATATCAAAAAAATTTATAGGTCACAAATTATTTCACGATCTTAATTCAAAAATCTTATAGGATACGATTTATTTATTGATCACAAATTACAAAATTAATAAGTCACGATTTATTTATCAGTCACAAATCTCAAATTTTATAAGTCGCAACTCAAATATTTAGGTCACATATAAATACAAATTATTGAATTAGTTGGTCAAAACTTACCAAATTCTGAGTCACGATTCCAAATTTATTCACAATCACAAACTTTTAGGGCATAAGTTATTTATTGGTCATAACACCGAAATAATTAATTACAAATACTCTTCATCGCAACCTATCATCACCACGATGCAACAACCACAACCACAATAACACAAACACCACTACGCGGCACCACCACAACCACCACTACTATCACACTACTGCCACTATCACCGCCACCAATACTGCCACCAGTACCACCACAAACTCAGTCATCATCACCGTAAGCACCATCACCACCATTCGAAATCCACTACCAACCAACAATCACAAAAATCACCTCAAAACCATCGCCACAACAGTGGAGCAACCGCCTAAACCACAAAAAAATCCGACCATGTCAAAAGAACCCACCTTCCTGCTGTGCAATGTTGAAATTGTTACCTACCTTTTTGCAAGTGGCGATGTCAGATCTCCATCTGCCCTCCTAGCCAGAGGTTGCAACCGTGCTCTTCTTTTTGACATCGCCAGTCTCTTGCAGCGGCAGAGCTCCTCTTTTGACAATGCTCCTCTTTCGGTGGCACTGCAGAGCTCGCGTCAGCAGCGATGTTGGTCCTCTCCTTGGAGAGTCGACGTTGGTCTCTTGTAGCTGCGTCGATCTCGCAGTCGGCGTCGCTCTCTTGCAGCAAAGCTGATCCTCTCCCCACAGTGTCCAACATCACCGGTGGAAGGATAGAGAAAAGATTGAATAGGTGAACCAAATAGAGCTTCATCATAGGGTATTCGGTGATAAAGGATTTGGCGACCACATGAGGCCCAAACTAACGGTGTCCTTGCAAAAACCATGCGAAATGACGTGGTACGATCAAAGGTGAGGCCCATGGTTCAACTACCTTGCTAGATTTAGACGAAGAGAGTGGGGAACACGGGGAGTCGCCACATGGCGTGCCATTGGAGGCTTACATGACCTTTTGCTTCTATGGTAACACCTACATGTCTTACGAATTTTGGGGTGTAACAACATTGCTAGCAGGGTCGATCTTGAGATTTCTAGACCTTAGCTCAACTTCAAATATGGGCCCTATGTATATTTAAAAATATATATAATAATATAAATTAATAATTTTATTAAATAAAAATATTCGAAGTTACAAAAATAATAATCTAAAACTTTCAAATGTGTTACTCTTCTACAATTTTGTGATAAAAATCGACAATTATATTGTTACAATCAATATGTTTTAAAACTTGTTTTTCAATAGATACCACGACCAATTAATTCAATAGTTCTTGTGAAATTGTTGACCGAATGCATGAATTTGTCAACTTCAACTTTGAGAAGCTCCTCTCAAGAGATGCAACTTAATTGGTATAATTACTAATACGCTATAAGCAATCCACGTATTTGAAATATAAAAGTCCATTATTTTCTATATAGTATAACACTTTAATCGCTTTTTTGGTCTCTTTTAGAAAACTTTTTTTAATAATTTGCAGCTCAGAGAATAATTCACTTGCATCAATATCAAAATCATTGTCTTGCTTATAAAATTCTTCTGGCTTATTATACCAACACTTCAAATGATTATCGTCTGCAACCAACAATTTTTTTAAATGAAATCGAAACTCAAAAAGTATTTTCATATTTTTGAAATTGTTCAAACATTGACTTAAGTGAAAAAAGAGATATCGACACTATAGATGTAAAATTGAAAATCTGACAAATTTTATACTTTCATACCAAAAATGAAAAACAAGAAAATTTTGAAAAATACCAAAAAATAAAAAATATACAAGTAGATGGTTGAATTTGAGGATGAGGAATTGAGGATGACTGAATAAGTAGAAAAATAAACAAAAGCTGTAAGGTTACGTAACAAACAAAAGAAACGGCAAAAAATCACTAATGTATTAAAATCTTCTTTTACACTTTGAAGAATATAAATTTTAATTTTTTTTTTTTTAGTATTTATAATGTATAATATATTTTTTGAGGAAGTGATCGGCATCCTGCTTATGATCAGGTCGTCACTAATTGCTATGATTCACTCTTTCAAAATTTGAACCAAAACGACAACTGCTTTGATTCACTCTTTCAATTCATATCTCAACCACCTAATTAGTATTCGAAGCTCAATAATTCGTTTTGAACTAAAAATTAAGTATTATGTCTCCTTTAAATTTTATTTAAATTTAATAATAACGGGATAGGAAAATGAAATCAAAGTTAAAACAATATAAACTCGATTGACCTTAGAATTCGACGAGATCCAGCTATCAACAAATCTCAACTTTTCTCCCGCCCATGTGTATCTCATCTGCACACTTGTACATCCACATTAGACTGCATAGACATTGCATGCATTCGACATTCAAATCAGATGGTGAAGAATATTGCGCCTATGAGAGACACAATGAACGAGAGTATATTAGTGTCTGGTTTTGGATTACTTGGTTGAGGAAAACTTACCTTTGAATAAGAGAGAACTAAGTAATCATAGGTAGTAAAGGCCTATCTAGATATTTGACACCGGATCTCATCATAACGGCTTACTTGTCATGTCCAATTGTATCGATACATAGTCATCATAGGCTTGTGGCTTCCATGCCTGAACATAGGCTCAAAAGTTGTGATCTGATTGACATTATCATTTCAGAATTGTCATATTAATCACTATGAGCACTGCACTTTGTGAATCTTGACCGAGGTAAGGCTTGCAACAGTTGCTCATTGTCTCGAGTATAAAATGCAGTCGAGAAGTGATGCATTGCTTCATATTACAATAAGTAGGTGCCCAAAGGCATGTCTAATAATCTCGAAAGAGGCATGCGAAAGGTACAATGCGAATTAGTGTGTTGACATTGCATGATGTTTTTTTTTTCTTTTAGTCGACTGCAACGAGGTCCGTCTCAAGAGCGAATGAATGTATTCTCCATACTTTGGATTCCAACTATGCAAACATAAAATAAATAAATAAGCATGGGCTTTAAAAGAATTTTTCACCATATACCAACTAATTTGTAAATTGCTTTTAATTATGTTCTTCTTTATTGGTTATCCTTATTCATATGAATAAAGATACCTTTGAAGGATCATGCATTGATATCAATATATCAGGTCAGTTGATATTGATAGGTCGTGACGAAGAAAATGGGAAAAATTATGTTATTGTTGAAAATGTATGCACAGACTAAGCCTTTGTTTGTCTTCAATTAAAAGAGTTGTTTAGAGAAAATAAGTTTTGAAATAGTAATTTTTTTAAAGAAAATATATGATTAAAAAGTAGGAAAAATTTTTAAATTTATTTGCAATATATTTTATTGTGTGAACGTGTTGTTAAAAATGAATAAAATAATTTTATTTTAATGAAAGACAAACAAGGACTAATATTAAAAACCGCATTACTTCATTTCTACTCAAGTTCGACACATTCTCCATGTTGACTTTGCTTTCTTTTGCCATTTGAGCTTTGGCCCGCAGAACCTCCCTTTCCTTTTATAATGGAATTGCGCCGGATGTGCCGGGACGTGATAGGCGTTATAAAAATAGACAGATCTTGTCGGAATTTTTTTACTATAATTAAGGTTATTAAATAAAGTAGTCAAATTAACAAATCCATAAGTTATCTCTGGAAGAAAAGGGGGGTTTCTTTTTAACTATTAAGTGTAACGTTACAAAAGAACAAAACCGTAGACTTTCATGGGAAGTTCTTGCTCCAAAACCCAATTTCCACTGGAGAAGATATTATTATCTTAGTACAACCAAATTATTCTATTCTAAACATATAAAAATCATAACGTTGGTTTGTTGAATTTCTCAGCCAACTACACAGCATTGTCTAGTGTACAGAAGCTTTCAGCACGTATTGTTTGGTAAACTTTCAACCTGCCACCAATCGAGGGAGGCTGATTTCTAAAATTTTGGAAGAGTCGAGCCTGACGCCCTTGTAGAATCTGAGTTTTTAGGGGGAGTGTGTGAAAGTTATGGCAGGTGAAGACGATACAGGGGGCACGTCGAGGCAGCTCGATCAAACACCGACATGGGCAGTTGCTGGTGTATGTGCAGTCATCATACTCGTCTCTATTGCCTTGGAAAAGATTCTTCACAAAGTTGGAACGGTATGAAAAATAAGACCTTTGGATTGCCAAATTTTTGTGCGTTTTTTCTTTTTATATTGTTATATAAAATTTGGGTTTTATTTTCTTTTTATCCAATCCATGACAAAAGTTGGCCTTAAAGATGTTAGATTTTATGAAACTTTAAATCACGAGAACTTGAAAATACTTTTGACTTTGTTGCCAAGATCCTCCACTCGAATCATCAAAAGAATAGTTAAACACGGAATATACCTTGAACTATTGTGAATGATTCTTTATTATTGGATCTTGATTCTGGATTTTGAATTGTGCGTTCTTGATTACGACTTCTTGATTTTGATTGCTTGTTCTTGATTGCGGGTTTTTAATATTCCTCTTCAATATACTTTTCTTGTTATTCTTGCGTTGATGAGATTAAACGTATAATGAGAATCATATATGAATTAGGGACCATAAACGAATTGGCTTAACTTTAATTAGATGTCCAAATCCCAATAACTTTAATTCTTTATTAGAGCATTTTAATTGAACTTAACTGTAAGATAGCCTTTAATACATACTTAAATACATATAGTTCATTGTTAGATCTACTGAAAGATGTAAACCATCTAGATCATTGGCTATGCCCCGAGGAAATATGTACTAGGATTAGATTTGACAAAATTTTACTTTGTTGTCCTTCTGTCCTATTATCTTGGAGAGAATCATGACATAATCCTTGATATAATAGTTGACATAATGTCACATGACACTTTATCATTGAATTGTTTTAAATACAATTAGCTTTTTCATCCAATCACATCTTGCCGACACCAATTATGTCACTCTATCTGTCAATCACTTTCTGGCAAAGTGGCATGACCCTCTTGGAGATTGTTTGACATTGTGAACTTTTATTCAGTGGTTAACAGAAAGGCATAAGAAAGCTCTTTATGAGGCTTTGGAGAAGGTCAAAGCTGGTATTTTATCTTTACATCTTGTCTTCCTCTGTTTCCCAGTCCCTCTCCCGGGAAAAAAATATAACTTCTGTATTTAATCGTGGCAGAGTTGATGATACTTGGTTTCATCTCGTTGATCCTTGTCTTCAGTCAGTATTACATTGCTGGATTCTGTATACCTTATCATGTTGCTGATACCATGTTGCCCTGTCCTCTGAACAACAAAGCTGATAAGGAAGCACCTCATCGTAGACTTTTATGGTACGAGCGTAGAGTATTAGCTGCAGGTAAAGAGCCTACGTGCAAGGAGGTACGTATAATTTGCACATTCAAATTTAGCTTTTTTGTGAAACTAATGGTCCATTAGTAGAGTAAGACAGTATATATTGGAATGTAGTGGAGCCAAATCGTATTGTTTACTTATTTCCTCGACTGTGGATTGATCTAGAGATATTATAAGTCTTCATTAACTAATCCAGTTCTTCCAACAGGGGCACACAGCGCTTATATCAATCAATGGGCTGCATCAGATACACATTCTTATATTTTTTCTAGCAGTACTTCATGTGATTTATAGTGCTGTTACTATGGCACTTGGAAGACTAAAGGTAATACAGAATGGTTTAATCATTTATGCACTTTGAATTCTGATCTTCCAGGCAATATCTCTTTGTGTACAATTTGATAAAACTATGTTTCGCAGATTCGAGGCTGGAAACAATGGGAGCAGGAGACCTCGTCACATGATTATGAGTTTTCAAATGGTATTACTCTCTTTACTTAATCTAGATCGACGTCTAATTTTCTATTTCTTATTCATGGGGAAGAGCTTCTCATAGTGATAGCACTAACATTATGGAACTTGCAGATCCTTCAAGATTCAGGCTTACTCACGAGACATCTTTTGTGAAATCACACACAAGTTTTTGGACTAGGATTCCGCTCTTCTTTTATATTGTGAGATATAATGTTCTATCTCCTTCATTCTTATTAATTGATATTCTTTCTAAAGTGACATATACGTGAAGCTTGAGCTTTTAGATGATGTGATTCAATAAGATATTAGATATTTTCATTATTCGAATGGCATGCTCTTCAATCTTCTTACAAACATTTCTTCGGCTCAGGGATGCTTTTTTCGACAATTTTTTAGGTCCGTCAACAAGTCCGACTACTTAACCCTTCGCAATGGGTTTATCGCTGTGAGTTTCGACTGCACATGCTTTTGTAGTTTATTTTTTCTCACCCCTTTCTCATTTTATAACCTGCGCTACTTTGTAGGTTCATTTAGCACCTGGAAGCAAATTTAACTTCCAGAAATATATCAAAAGGTCACTAGAAGATGACTTCAAAACAGTTGTAGGAGTCAGGTAGATTCTTCTTGGATTCATTAGTTTTTTTTATCAAGAACTCGATGATCTAAGAGGCGCTCTGCTAATAGACATCCCCTCTGGACATAGATTTGCAGTCAAAATTCGTATCTTATCCATCTTTTTCTGTTTCATTTTTGATGCTGACAGTCCAGTGTTATGGGGATCATTTGTGGTGTTCTTGCTACTAAATGTTAGTGGTAAGTGACTTTTTCCCCGAATGTTTTCATATTTCCTTTTCTATAGACATAATATCACTACAAGCTGGAAATTTTCCGACAGAATTACTTTCTATAAGAAAATAGTATCGCCAGTGGAACAAAACATGCTGTCTCTAAATTTCCGTCGTAAATTCTGTCTGTATTTTTTAAAATTCCACAGCTACCTTCAGTGATGGAGTCTGGGCTGAAATGTAATGATTTAAACTGTAAATCCTATCTGGAATAGAAATTAACAGCATTTTCTTGAACAATATATCCACAACTACAGGGTGGCAGGCATTGTTTTGGGCATCCTTAATTCCTCTATTTGTAAGTGTCCTCACTTGTTGACATTATTTGATGTCCTCAAAGAAAACTCTGATCATATGATGTTTCTCAGATAATCTTGGCCGTTGGCACAAAACTTCAAGCCATTTTGACAAGAATGGCTCTTGAAATAACAGAAAGACATGCAGTGGTACAAGGTATTCCTCTTGTACAAGGATCAGACAAATACTTTTGGTTTGGTCGGCCTCAGTTGGTTCTTCACCTTATCCACTTCGCATTGTTTCAGGTTGGTGCTAAATATCTTCATTTCGTGCTACTTCTACTCGAATATTCAATTCAACTTGATTCCTGCACAAAAGGCCATGTTAATTCCGGTTTGCCTTTTTATCTTTTAGCTTGCTTTGCTAGGATCACGTCATTCATAAGAACGAGTGCTTTTTTAGGTCCACGCAAGACATGTTCCAACCTACGTCGTACTTATCTTAACTTATCCTCAATTGGGGGCATCTCACTAATTATCTTATTCATTCCAATACGGTGGCACATCCATATTACCATCCTCATGGATATCGTGTGTGCTGGTGTTCTAAATCATATCTTGGTAAACAAACGCTCGTTCGCACTCTAAAAAACTGATAAATAAAGTAAAAAGAAAATGAAAAGTTCATCCACTGTGGTATGTTTTGATTCTAACCATTCCATATATAATGGCAGAATTTTTATTTTGTGATATTTATTTTCATTTTTCCCGTTGTAATGCTAATATTGGGCTAATCAGTGGGTACTAATTTATGCAGAATGCCTTCCAGGTTACATATTTTTTATGGATATGGGTAAGGACTCTTCTCTAACCACATCATAATGAAGAGTAAATTGTCCTCTACAATACCAATTTACAAAAATGAGTTGTTTTGTGCAGTATGAATTTGGGCTAAAATCTTGCTTCCATGACAATTTCAAGCTCGTAATTGCAAAAATCGCGTTAGGGTATGCATTTCTTACATATAGCTTTAGCTTCCCGATGGTAGATGTTCAGCTGTGCCGGTTATCACAAATGATTGAGAACTACAAACGGGTCGAAAAGTATTTTCTTCATTTTATTCAACAAGCGTTGAATGTTTACATGCTTTGTTGTGATGTCACAGGGTGGGAGTCCTATGTTTGTGCAGCTACATTACACTTCCTCTTTATGCCCTTATAGCTCAGGTATTGTCAAAGCTACAAATTATTGTATATCTTTCACAATCATTCTAATGAGTTGCACGACCACCTTATTTAAAAGTTTAAGGAGTTAGATAAACAGTCTCAAAGTTTAAATGTGGTCCATAAGATCGCTCGAAATTGATTTATTGCCTGGTTCCGAGATTAGACGGTCGAACCAGCATGTCCGATCCATATTTGATAACACTCGAATAAAGTGTTGAATGTACATACTAGTTTTTCTACATCATTGTAAAATGTATCCTTGTGAGAAAATGGCAGATGGGTACACATATGAAGAAATCTATATTTGATGAACAAACATCCAAGGCCCTAAAGAAGTGGCATATGGCTGTGAAGAAAAAGCAAGGAGGGAAAGGAGGAAGGTCTCCTAGAATGCTGGGAAGTGGAAGTCCAACTTCTTCCATGGGTTCACCTGGACCTACACTTCATCGTTTCGAAACTACGGGACACTCGACCCATTTCTCGAGATATGAGGAACACGGTGAATCATCGGACCTAGAGGCGGATCCATCGGTACATATGGAAAAAACTTCCAGCTTAATTGTAAGAGTTGAACGTGATGGTACAGAAAATCACAGGAGTATACCCCATAATGGAGAAGAAAGTAAAAATGAAGATTTCTCATTTGACAAGCCTGCCCCCCTTCATTGAATTTTGCTAATTTTGGCAGCATTTTACTATTTTCTCCTCTCTTTCATTGGTAGGAAATGAAATTTGAAAGGAGCATGTTAAAATATAGTTCAACTCTTATATATTTCACATGATTACTTCTCAATTGAAGTGTCAAATTCACATTTTGTTATATAAATGAGATGTGTATTTAGGATTGGTCTTCAAAAATTTGAAACCCTATATGATTAATTATTATGAGATCCTTAAACACAATTTTTTTTTACAAACGTAACAATACTTAAATATTTAAATAAATAAAATATTTATATTTAAATGAAGAATTCGTACAATTCAAAAGATAAAGTAGCAAAATAAAACTACGAGAGATAAGACTAGCATCATATTCTGCCTTCTTATATTTTGAGATGCAAAATTAGTAATCAAACTACTCAAATCGATTTTTTCTAACATATTTTTCGACAGAAATCATCAATCCATTCAATCTGTCATATGACATGGTTGATCAAAGATAAGTTCAACTTCGAAAAACTTTTTTTGAAGGAACAATGGTGATAGAAATAGTCAATAATACTCTATAAACAATTCGAAGTTTCAAACATTTCAAAATGAGTAATTAGCACATAACGTCCTTACCTTTTTATTACTATAGTGCAAAACGTTCATACTTTTTTTTTTGACATTTTCATCTTTAATTACACATTTGATTGTGTAAAATGTCATTTTCCTCAATTTTCATAAAAAAATCTCTATTAAGTGAAGGGTATTTTCATTTTATAACTTTTTTTTTTTCCCCTTTCTTCCCATGAACCCATTTTCTCTATTTATTTTCCCTCTAAAAAATAACACTTGGTTTCTTATGTTCCTTGGCAGCTTGAGTGTAACAACCACACCAGGCTCACTTTGAAATAGTCTCCTTCCTACTTCCTTTCTATTTCTAGTTTTTGTTGGATTTGTTTATTTTTGGAAGGAAGAAGGAAGAAGTTGGAGCTGTTTTGTTGACTTGACTTGACTTCAGACAGCTATGGAGTTTTCGTTTGCTGAAAATTACACACAAGACATCACAAGTTGTTGAAAGAGCAGAGCCAAAATAAAGACAAGTTGATGGAGAGCCCTTGGTGGCGATCGACGAAGCGAGTGGTGAAGGCTATAGTGGTAATTTCAGAACTCGACTGACCTTCCAAAAAAATGAAAAAACTAGGTAGGTTGTGGGACAATATGACCCTCAAAATTATAATTGAACTAATGAAGAACTTCAAAGAAGATCAGACAAGAGGATTGTTTAATCAGCTTGATCCAAGAATAAACATGATTCTATTTACTTTTAAACTCTCAACCCAACCTCGCTCCTCCCATCAGAATCTCACTTCGTCCCTTCTCTCTCTACAAACATACACAATTCAAAAATTTTAAAAACTTTTTGTCATCTTATGTTTTATGATTTTTTTTTTCAAAAAAACTCATTCAACTCGATACTCGTCAAGCTCCACCTTGAATGGAATGGGTATTACATGCCTAATTGGGTAAACATGACATGGTGGATGTGGTTCATTGTCCTGAAGCGGGTACGGGAAACACGATCCCCACCCCATTTCAAGTTATTTTCAAATTTAAGTTAAGTTTTTCATCAAACAAATAAAAAAGAGTTATTATCCAAAGAAAACATGAATTGTTCTTAATAAAATGAGAAAAATTAATAATATTCATTAACTAAAAATGCAAAAAAGATAATAGTAAAAAAAAAAAAAGGGTTGATAAATAGAGCAAAGGACATGCCCCGCCCCGCTTTGATTCCGGCCTTCCGCTTTAACCCGATATGGGATGGGAGAAAGCGACAAAAATATTCAACGGGACGAGGGTGAGAATGGTTGATCCATCCTATACATGACTCATTGCCATCCCTATTGTTTTTGCTCATTTTCTAGAAATTCATAACTATAGATTGTTCTTTATGCATCACGGGTAATAATATTTAAAATTCTGTAATAATTCTATTTTTACCAATGATTTTTGGGTTTCTATTATTATTAGGATAAATCTACTTGTATATCAAAAAATGTACATCAAGGTATCCACCCCTCTCAAATGGGGGTGAGACCCACTTGTATAAAATTTAAGTGGGTCTCAACCTCGTGTGAGAGGGGTGGACACCGTAATGTATATCGTGATGTACTCGTAGCAAAATCGTTATTATTATTGGAATTTTGGTTTTTATGACCAAGTTACCAAAGTTGTCATACTCAAAATTTCTGGTTATGTTGGGTCATGTTATTGTTGGAAGGAAGAAAAAAGAACACCAATTTAAAGTTTAAGATGAAAATACCCTTCACTTGACGGAGAAGTTTGATGAAAATGGAGGAAAATTGACTTTTTACACAGTCAAATGTAAATCACGAATGAAAATACGAAAAAATAGAAGGTATGAACGTTTTGCACAATAATAATGAAATGTAAAGACGTTATGTGTTAAATACATTTTGAAAATTATTAGCACGAGCGCGAGACATTATTATTTTAAGGATAAAGAGTCGAATCTCGTGTCAACCGAAATCTCATTTTGATAAATCTAAATTCTTTTCGATTTTTTTAGCATGTAAAAGATTAATTGTCAGAATATGATATACTCAAAACATTTTTTACCAACACAACCCGCTCATATCTTTCAAACTTGATGTTTTATAAAATTAACTTAAAAAAAATAAGTCTAGTGTCATGTCCATATTGTTCAACCATTCTTACACATCTAGATAGATTTTTTAGGCCCTTGGCCATTGTTTAGGTGACTTTGATCTATAGCCGAGTCCGTATGTATTTTATTTAAGAGAGAATATGCGAAATAATAATTCGATATTAAAGTGATGAAAAATTTACGAACTCTCGTTTTTAAAAGTTTTAAAAATTGAGCAAACGATCAAGGAAGCTCGAATAATTAATAGTACATAATCATTTGAGATGTTGAACGTGATAAAATAAAACATAAACAGTAAAATGTGAATTGAGATCTGTTGTTCAACTTTTGCCGTTCATCCAATTAATTATTGACACGTCATTTTAAATTAACACGTCATCAATTACTGGTGAAGTTAACGATGGTTTATTTGAGATGACATTTTAATTTAAAAATGATATGTCAATTATCAATTGAGAGAACAGTAAATTGAACAGCAAAAAAATTGGACAACAAATTTCAACTCGTAAAATTACTGCGTTGCTTATCCTTTTTCCTTTCATGCAAAAAATTACTTAAAAATAAACTTAATACATTTTTTATTGTGGAAATTACAGCCAACCCCGTGTTTTAAGATCCAATTTCACAAATAAGATTNTGTTTCAAGATCCAATTTCACAAATAAGATTCAAAGTTTAGTTATTCAAAAATCAGATATTTTATTTTAATTAAAATTTTAATAAAATAAATATTTTTACTAAAAATATATACTTACAAACCCTAATTAAATCTCACTTCTCACATTACTCTCTCTCTACTTTTCTCCGTCCTCTCTCTACAAACGCCTCCTCCTGTCACTCTCCCTACACCAAGCTTCCCCGGCACTACAACTCCAGATTTGAGGCCCGGCGTCGGAGGTGCACCCCTGCGTGGCGGAGTTGAGGCTCGGTGATCGTCGGTGGCGCACTCATGTGGCGATCTGGACTTTTCTCCGGTCCCTGCGCAACGGAGTTGGGGATCGGCAGTCGTCGAAGGCGTAGCCATGTGCCACCTCCTCTCTTCTCTCTCTTTCCTCCATTCCCCATTTTCTTTACCTGCGGGAATAGAGCTCGCAACTGCACTGAGTTCGCCGATCTGAGCCGACGATCTAAAATGGGTTGTCAAAAATTGAGCAAAGAGTGTTGGAGATATGTTTTCTGCTCCTTTTTTGTGGTTTTATTGTGGTAATTGTGGTGGTTTTGAGTTGTGCGGTGGTGGTGATTCTTGTTGTGCAGTGTTGGATGTG